CTAAAGGGAATTAATATGCAGAATGAGTGGGAAAAAGCAGCTCACAATAGAACTCAATGGAGAAGGGTTGTAAACTCACTTAACAGCGGCAACCAAAAAGTAGAGAGGCAACAAAGCAATGAGATTTTTGAATGTCCGGAGTGCGGTAGGCAGATAACATCACGTATCGGGCTTTTCAGTCACAGAAAAGCTCATGAAAGAAAACGCCTTGCGTGACCATTTTCTTTATGTGTGTCGAATACTCGTCAGCGAGTAACGGCTGTATGTATATGTATGTAGGTTACGACCGGTAAAATTAGCAAAAATATTACCTTTTCAACTTCGTTGATCGACCCTGGGTTGTTATACTACAATGTTACTTGAAAAAATACTACTACAGACAAAAAAAAGTATCATATCATCATAGTACTTCAGATATTGAAGTGCTTAGAAAATTTATAAGCAAATCGTAAATCCTGAAGCTTAAAATATATTTAAAATTTTTTAACGCATAATCATAATTGGGTTTTTTGTTATTATCACAAAAAATTCAAAACGAAAAACTCAAAATTGTGTTTTCATTATGTTGTGATTGCGTGAACTATAATATAAACTTCCAAGAAAAACGTTCATTATTGTCAGATTTATGTTAATCTCGACACAAAATGTCTGAATTAACAATATAAATCTCCCGACGAATAACGAAATATTTCCCTATTTCTTCTGTAATACATTATTACTTAGGGTCAAGTAGTGTAAAAATGACACATTTTTCAAGTTACAACCATGCTCCCATCCTATCAAGGACCTGCATAAGCTAGTGCAAGGCACAGGGATAGGAGAATGGGTGCAGATATAGAAGGGGGAACACAATAGGCCTCACAGGTCGCAGTGTTTCCGGCATAGGACGGCCCCTTGTTATGGAAAAAAAAAGTTACAACCATTTTTTCTGTTTTCTTAGTTACAACCATTTAAATACAAACATATTTCATTTGGTAAAAACTGTTGCAAAAGCAAGTCAGTATGCAAAAAACAGTGTCTCATATTTAGCCCATAAAAAAATCTAAAATGAGACATGCTAGTTTAAATATAAGTGTCACAAAATGCACTGAAATGAAAATGAGGCTAGAAAGATAGTTAACATGAAAAAGATTCATGTTCGTTCGAATGTGTCACGCCACCTCGTGCGGGTAACAATGACGCGAATGGCTACGAATACGTATGGTAGCATTTGCCAGATGTATTCTCGGCTTAATGTTCATGTCGGGCTATGCAACACATGGTATATAAATATCCGTATTTAAATAAACAAAATTATAAAATATAATTATTTTTTATCGTAGAGTCATACTTCAGATATATCTATAAGCCACTAAGTCAAGTATGATTTATCTAAAAGTCTTCAAAGGAGGACGGCTAGAAATGTATATAAACTGGATATAGAACAATTTTTGCTAATTGTGTCCGAGTTTATTATAATTGAAAGTAAGTAAAATTTACTTTTTATACATAATAATATTTAAAGAAAAACTCTTATTTATTGGCAATATTAGGAAATATTAACTGATCAAAATTAATTATTAAAAAGATTATTAAAGTGTGTATTTATAAAATAGTGATAAAAAAATAATTACAAAAATCGTGGGACGCTTTGCTGTATAGTATTATAGTAAATCACGTTTGACTTAAGTATATTCCATTGATGCGGGTGATGCGTCGTATCCTTTCAAATAATGTACCTAATAGTTAATACGTTTTTATTTAAAAAAGTCACTATGAGATCTCCTATAAGAAATTTAAATTCTCAGTAAATTTATTCAAATAACTTTGGTCGAGCTTTGTAGATAACGCTAAGACCTACGCTAAACGGTAAAAATAAAAATACCTCGACAGCGCGATGATGCGACTGTCCTCATTACATCTTGAACGCCGCCGAACGAGCCGAGGTCAGCAAACTTTCCGGCCGCGATTACGTCTCCCGTTCGCTGTTTTCGTCGGTCGGTCAATCAATGTCTATGGTGCAATCAGAAAAATTAAAAACTATTGAAGAAGGACCTCCAAAACATGTTTTGAATATTAATACTAAATTAAAATCTTGTATTCCTCATTTAAGTGAAAATGTTTATAAAAGTGAACACTGGTTATGTGGTTGTAAGTTATAAGACACTCAATAAACTTTTTTGTTGGCCTTGTCTACTATTTTCCAAGGAGAAAAATGTATGGAATACTACCGGCTACGATAATTTATGATGAACATTGAAAGATTATTACCAGAGAGTATGCGTTCTTATCCTTCATACTGTATAGTATTATTTTAAATCACGTGTTACCTACGTATATATAATATTTTATAAGAAAAATATATCGTTAATGATTATCTTGATAAGGATATTGGAATAAACTTATTAAATTGCTGTTGTCATCGGGTCTTGATAAGTCTATAGAGTTTCAGTTTAATCTGGCTTCATAGAGTGTTCGAATCGAAGAAGTTTTTACAATATCCCATTTTTAACATATATTGATGTTACAGATAAAGTTGCCCAACAAGTATACGCCTACTTAAGTTGGACGTTGTTGTTACTGACCGGACATTAACGTGAAAATCCAAACGATTCGGACAATACTGATAAGCTGTGGTTAAGCTTGTATTGGAGTTTAGCTTCATTCAGAACCTCGCATTTAGTGGAATAAATTAGTGGTTTCAATTACACTTTATACTTTTTAGTTTACGATCATTCACAATGTCTAAAAAACGCAATTAAAATTACCAGAATATCCTAGCAACACCTTGCATTAGTCAGTTGTATCCATAGAGAAAGCCTAATATTTAGCTTATAAAACATCTACTTTTAATTTCTAACCACAATTTCTCTTGACGGATGAAAATAAAAAGCCAACATAACATTTCTCCCAAATTTTGAAATATAATTAGTGGAAAAGTTAAAACTTTTTCCACTGATTGAGAATTCCTACCACTAATTTTAACGTTCTGAATGCTTACATTGAAATTAAAGTAACAAACTTCTACGCTAATTGAAACCACTAATTTATTCCACTAATTGTGAGGTTCTGAATGAAGCTTTAATATCTGTTTTAATGCTGGCTCTCCTGAAAAAGATTAAGTATAAAATAATCTGTCTGTTTATTTTGTACCTACCGGCTAGCATTTTAAACGTCTAGCTACCTCTTCTTGTAGTACCATCTTCTAATGAAGGTTGGCAACAATCGCGGCGAAACACTGTCTGTCCTGTGCAGCTCGAAACAGTTCGTGTGAGTTCAGTCCAGTCCAGTCTCGTAAGTTTTTCAACCAAGAGTGCTTGCGTCTCCCAAGTCCTCTTCTGCCTTCTACCTTTCCCTCCATAATCAACTTCAGAAGCTTTGCTCTGCTACTGCGCATGACATGGCCCAGGTATGCTGTCTTTCGTTTTTTATATTTGCAATTAATTCCCTGTCCCTGTTAAGCCTCCCAAAAACCTCTTCATTGCGTACATGATCTGTCCTGGGTATTTTCAAGAGTCTTCTGTAGATCCACATTTCAAAAGCTTCCAACCGTCTCATGGTGTTTGTTTTAATAGTCCAGATCTCACAGCCGTATAAGAGGATTGAGTATACATAACAATGGACAAAACGCAGACGTATGTTGATGTTGAGTGATCGGTTACATAATAGATTTCTCATTTTGTTAAACATTGACCTAGCTTGTTCTATACGCGATGTAACTTCTAAGTCGGGGTCAAGGTCTGATGTTAGCCAGGATCCCAGGTATTTGAACTTATTTACCGTGTCTACGCATTGTCCGTATACTCGTATGTTGGGTGGTGGAATATTTCTCCACTCTTCACTAACTACCATTATCTTGGTTTTTGCGGTGTTTATTTTAAGGCCCAATGGATCTCCCGCCCGAACTATGTTGTCTAGAAGTTCTTGAAGAGCCTCAGGGTTGTCAGCGATAATCGCGGTGTCGTCTGCATACCTAAGGTTGTTAATTGGGACGCCATTTATTTTTATGCCAATGCCTTTATCTTGTAGGGCCTTATTGAATATATATCCGGAGTATATATTAAACAAGAAGGGAGACAGTACACATCCCTGACGAACTCCACGTTGTACCGGTATTTCGACTGTTTCGTCTTGCCCTAACCTTATGTATGCTGTCTGATTCCAATATAGTGTTTTTAAGAATTGGATATCGTTCTTGTCTAGACCTTTTTCTTGCAAGATGTTAAACTGCACTGTGTGTTCTACTTTATCAAAGGCCTTTTCGTAGTCGATGAAACAAATGTATACGTCTTTTTGTTGGTCTCTACATTTCTGTAAGAGAACAGACAGGCCAAACATTGCTTCCCTGGTCCCCATTCCTTCTCGAAAGCCAAATTGACCGTCATCTAAATCAATTTCACATTTTTTGAATATTCTGTGTTGAATTATTTTAAGAAGTATTTTTAAAACATGGCTCATTAGGCTTATTAATCTGAAGTGTTCGCATCTTTTTGCGGTGTTATTTTTTGGGATAGGGACAAAAATTGACTTCAGCCAATCTTGTGGGATCTCACTGCTTTTGTAGATTTGGTTTAACAGTCTAGTTAGCATAGGGATGTTTTCTTCATTTATCAGTTTGAGCATTTCAACATGTACTTTATCCGGGCCGCAGGCTTTTCCTACTTTACTATTTCTTATAGCTCTCTCCACTTCTGAAGTTAAGATATCAGGTGCCTCTTCAAATTCATTTTTGATGTTGAAAACTCTAGGGATTTGCGGTGCGAACAGTTCTTCCACATATTGTTCCCAGTGCTTGCAAACTTGATTTATATAACCCCATACAATACTTGTACATTTTTAAGTGACACCGTGTATATTTGTTCAATGTTTTCTGTGTTTTCAAAAATCAATAAATGATTTAAAATTAAATGAAATAAAAATTAAGTAATCAGCAAGTTTTTAAGCACTCTTAAGATTTATCTAATACTTATATACTTCATCTTATTTCTTTATCTATCTATCTTCTTCATTCGTCTATATCATCTATCTTCTTTATTCGTCATTCAAAGGACATAATGTACTTCTTGAAAGTTAATTAGTTTTTTATTGGTTTACAAAGTTGAGTTAAGGGCCTCTCATAAACCGGTATCCGTGAGTTTTAAAACTCGTGGCTTTCCTTAGTTAAAAATACAGGTAATATCATTTTTAAAAGTTTGATTTGATGATGATACACTCATTATTTGCCTGTCTTCATATTCTATTAATCTAAATAAACATTAAAAGTATTAATTCAAAAATAATTAATAGAGTTATGGTTGGAACCTTTGGGTTTACAATAGCAAAATAAAACACTAATTTACCATAAAAAATACTGTTTACTTTTAAGGCTGACCTGTATTTCGACCATCACTATTATCGCTAAACATGTTAAAATCACCATCAGCACATGATTAAAACTGAAAACTGATTTTAATCATCCGCTAATTATGCTAACATGTTTAACGGCCATTGAATTGCGCATCTAGTGTCAAAATTAAAGTGTTTTGGTGTATTGTGGTAAAATAAAAATAAGTGAAATCAGTAAAATGTCTATTAAAATGAGAATAACTTAGATATGTATAAAAGCGTGTATACTGCGTATATCATATACAGGGTTAGTCTTAAATAAATGCAAATATTTTCAAGGCTGGTAGTCTCGATAAAAGAAACATATTTTCTCTTTACCGTTTTTCAAATAAATCCTATAACCGAGTTATTTTACTTCGAAAATTTCCAAAAAAAGTTGATGTTGCCATATTATCCACAAATTATGTTCTTTAACTAAAAACTAAAAAATTTTTCAAAAAATTCAGAATTTTCATTTTTTTTCAAGAAAAAAACTCATAATCGTGTTTCTGAGGCCAAAATATACTACCCATAAAAATATTTGCACATATTTAAGACTCACTCTGTATATAAACCAGTATATCTTTATATAATATATTGATTTGTTTTAAATTAACATATACAAACAAATGCAAACAAACCCTTTGTGTATTTACAGTATGTTTTGACTACAGACTATACAAAGTGAATAAAGTTCTTATTTCAAGATTTGTCGTTGTCATTGGCGCAGTTTCAGGATTTTTATACAAACAAATGCATAGTGTTAAATAAATAAATATATCTACTAACACCAAAAGCGTTTAACAAGTACCTGCATAAATAGTACTTAAATGGCATGATGTAAATGTTTTATGACAAATAATTTGTATCTTATTTTGTCTTACTTGAGTAAATTTTTATCAAAGTCTCCTCTTCTTTTATCAAAATATTTTTTTATTTGCAAACAACATATAAGATTATAAATTAAAACAACCAAAAGAAAAACTCAAAGTTCTTAATTATTGAGAACAATAGTAAATGGCTTTTCAATTCAGGGTTATTATGTGTTATAGAGACAAAAAGCAAATAAATATTATAGATCAATACATATCTATAATTTTTTTAATAAATATTGTATATTATTATTATAGTATTTCAATAAAATTGAAATACTATAAGCGAAAACCAAGCATTTTTCTGTTTGAATATTTTGGGTACATTCCTTCTGTAAAGTAAGTTTTGTCTATAAATATTATCTGTCTGAAGGGTCTATCTCTGATAATAAAAATTATTCTGTACAAATAAATGAACAGTGAACACTTCTTTCTTACTGTTCTTCTAGAGAACCATGAAGTGTTTGGGAATTTGCATCACCTTGAGCGTCATAGCCCTATCCACAGCAACCATCTTGGATTACCATCCACTCTCTGAAGAGAGAATCGCCCAAATCAACGAAAAAGCAAAGACATGGAAGGCTGGCAAGAACTTCGAAATTGAAGACTGGGAAACCGTCAAGAGGATGGCCAATGGTGTCCGCCCCGATGCACTGCTCAGGAGGAGGCATTATTCAGCTCCCCATGACATCAGTGAGGAGATTCCTGACACTTTCGATGCCCGTGAGCAATGGCCTAACTGTATTTCAATTCCAACTGTTTGGGATCAGTCCGACTGTGGATCTTGTTGGGTATGTATTAGCGTTTAGACTTGTTTGAAGGCGGTAGATAATTTTCAAGTATTAGTTTTAATCAACGACTAAAGAATACAAGGACATGTAACGCCGATATACGGGCTGCGGCACAATTTGTGACCTTAGACGCTATTTCTTTGGAAGTAACGAATGAGTCATCAGCGACAATTTTAGCGATTTTTAATACTTGGTTGTGTGTAGTGAACTTTGTATAAACTTTATTACAATGGTAATTTGTTCAGCTTTCAAGTGCAAAAGGCGCAATAATAAGAAAGAGCCAGGAGTTATGTTTTATGGGGAAATAAACAGACCACTCCACCTTTTTAGCGTTTTTTTTATTGAATTCGATAATTATTTTTCTGATATTATATGTACTTGATATGTGCTATACGTCGATACTAGTTTTATACCTTCTGTTAACATTTTAATACGATTTTCTTTCGTAATTAATTAGTATGATACCACGGGATACACCATAGGCACAGTAAAAACATTTATCAAAAATATAAATATCGCTTCAAGCGACTATGTTAAGAATAATAAGGGCCACAGCACTGTTTGGAAGAATTTCCACAGTTTGGTCTCATGTGTTATTTGTCCTTGTATTCTTTAGTCACTGGTTTTAATTTTTCAAAATTCTGTTCATACAGATCGGGTCAGTCTAAAAGCGTGAACTAGATTTTAACGCGTGAGGCAGTGATGTAGACAGCATAATAAAATATCAAATGCATTAAAAATGGAAAAATTGGGTTGATACACTTTTTCTATGCATTGCCGAATTTTGCATCAAAATTTCAAACCGCTCAAATAGGCGTTTACGAAAAATGTTGCATCTAGGGTTGGATCTTTATTTTCCACAATTAGTTACTCATTTTACTGCAACTGTAATAGATTATATTTAGTTTATTATCGTTATTTCAGTAGTATACATGAAAGTTTTTAAAATAATTTATTTTATTCTAATTTCTTTAAGACTAAGATAATTTACTTATACCAGGTCTACATGTCTAGAAGTGAATCGCTATGGCGATCTTGTAAGTCAGAAAGAGAAAAATGCGAAGTTTATTACCTATCCATTAATCGGGCGGGTTACTTCATGCGCTTGGGAAAATTCTTGCTCTTCTCTCTTTGTTAAACTAATCAAAAATATGCTCTATTACTTAGTCACGTACATTCCTCAGTTACATATTAAGGCAGATAATGAATTAATTACATAATGTAGTAAATAGCGCAAATTTTATTGCGGACCATTGTAACCATTGTAAGTATAAGATTATGTATGTAAATATTCCACATACATTGCCAATTATCAAACTGATATTCTATAAAATGCCTAGACATTATGTTATCCTTATTTTTATTTTATCTTCTTTATCGCACAATATTCGTCTATTATTATATATCTTCTTAATCAATATCTACAACTCACGGTTAAAAAATTGATTGTAAACTTATCTCTGAAGTAGGCATACCCGTACTAAAACATTGAAAATTTATCTTTGAAGTATATAGGTAAATTACTATTTTTGATTATGAGAATCTCCAAGGAAAGATATCTCAAAATTTGGAATTTCCAAAACGCAATTATCAAATACGTAGAAAATACTGCGCTTCATCGAAGAGGTCACAAAAACTAATGATCCAATTACCTAATTTTAAGATAATTAAATGAGATTTGAGATTATATATTATACAGGGCGTGTTAAAAAGTCTGCAGCAAAAAATTATTTCTTTTGAAAAACGGTAAAGAGAAAACATGTTTTTTTTTCGAGAGCTACCGGCCCTGAAAATATTTGCAATTATTTAAAATTCATCCTGTATAAATTAGAAACCTACAATTTTGATGAAACTAAATTTGTAGTCTTATGTACCAAACGATCGAAAAAAACGGCGTCAGCGATGGCTATGAAAAGAAGATCGCTATTTTATATGGAAAATTATATGGGGAATGTTATCGATCGTCATTTCGAAGCTAACTGGATACCGTCTTTTTTTTCTCGATCATATGGTATAAAGATACTACTGAGTGTGCAGGGCGCGAATTCTGCGATATGCAATTTGAAAACGGCTACCTTAAAAGATCGTTTTGCTTGTCGAACGTTGCGTTGTGATTATGACGATGATTAAGACTGTGATTATGATTACGACTTATGCAAATGTTGTATAAAACCGGCATTAATATTGATCAGTGTTCGTTTTTTTTTCTATCAAAGCCAGTGTTTTAGAGTTGAGAATGAAATAAAGTCGAGGCAACAAACCGTATATTGGTAAAAAAAACTAACGGTAGTTGAAACTAATGGTGGCTTCGTGGAGCACGCTATTTGCGCTATTTGGTACTACTTTTCATGCACGAAATTGCCCCGCGAACATAAAGTAGTATCAAATAGAGCAAATAGTAAACTCTAGCATGATCTTTTCGTACACCATGTGTCCAAACTTTTCCAACCAATCTTCCATAATAAAAAAATAAAATAAATACCATAAAAAATAAAAGTAACAAACGGGTAACCAAAGTAGAACATAATAAACCAACAAGAATTAACAGCTTTTAGAGTACGTCTGTCCGTTCTGTGGATACGGGGTATCCGTGAGAGGGAAAACGATATTCTCTCGATGTCTTTCGTAAAAAAATAGACGATGCGTCCCATCAATAAAAATTCGACAAATTTGCAAGTAGCCAATAAAATGAGTGGGCGGAGCGATTTGCGGTGACGTACTCGTCAAGTCGACGTATAAAATATATTGCTGTTTATTTAAATGTTTTTTGTCCGCATTCCTTTCATAGACACAGATCCAGCAGACGCACTTTATTTGGTAATGGCTCCTGTTTCGTCAAACGGGCGAGTTGACGTAGTTCGTTTGCGGTCCGTTAAGATTTTTTTGCTAAAATTAGCATCGTTGTTGCTCATTTTTCCGTATTACATTTTGTATACGACGCTTTCTATGAAATAAAATATAGAAATATTATTACCTTTTTATTAGAATGTAAAATTTTTCAAGACAAGAAATTTCAAGAGTCTTGCAAAACAAGACAAGACTTTGCCATTCAAGAAATCTGCAAGACAAGACTGAAAATTTCTTGTCTTGAATTTCAAGACAAGACAAGAAATTGATTTTCAAGACAAGAATTCTTGTCTTGTGCAACACTACCCAGGACCTGATCTTATTTTACTTTTCCTATTTTCGCCAGGCAATCGCAACCGCAGCGGCTATGTCCGACCGGGTCTGCATCCAATCCAACCAAACCAAACAAACTTTCGTCTCTGCCGAAGATCTCAACAGTTGCTGCGTCGTATGCAGCGACGGTGGCGACGGCTGTGGAGGCGGCTATCCCGAGGAAGCTTGGGCCTACTGGCAAACACACGGTATCGTAACCGGAGGGCTATACCAAGGCAACCAAGGTTGCAAAGACTACACCCTGGCACCCTGCGAGCACCACGTCAACTACACCACCAGACCCCAATGCGCCGATCTTAACTACGTCACGCCGAACTGCTCGAGAACTTGCTCGGAGGAGAGCGGCTTGAACTACACCGAATCGAAGACTTATGGTCAAACGCCTATTTTCTTGGCAGAGGAATTGCAGATTCAATTGGAAATTTTAAAAAATGGACCTGTCCAAACTAGTTTCTTTGTTATGGATGATTTTCCCAACTACCAGTCTGGTAAGTCAATAGCAATTGACACGAAAAACGAACACCGTAAAATTTTGACGTATTTTAAGTATAAAATATTTCCTAGTAAGTCTAGTGGACCGATTTAGATTATTTTTTTAACCAATTTGTAGCTAAATTGTTTGACTTTTTAGTATCTCTTTCTAAATTAAAAATGAAAGTTTTCATCTGCCAATTATACGAGGGAAAAAAATGTTGATATTTTGGTGAAAGTTTGAAACACCCTGTGGAACATGTTAACAAAGCAAGGAATTTAAAAATTACTTTATCACGTAGGTACGTCCTTTCTCGATAATTTGTTTTCTGATTTATCTCAATAGCTTTATTTTTATTGGAAATATTCGCTTTGGAATAAGACAGTAACGATTTACAGCAATTTTAGCAATGATTTTGGGTCCGTACCAACACACTGCAACACACATTTATTTTGCAGTAAATACCTACTAAATACCTATAAACTGTACTATTGATAATAATTATAAAAACATGAAAACTTTTATTATAAATGTTAATGATACAGTTTGAACAATCTTTCAAGTAAATGCCTGATGAAGGCATGATAATATATGCCTAATTCTGATTAGGCACTTTCTAGAATGCCTAATCAGAATTAAGCATATTAAACTATGATGAAATTTTCTGTGCACTTCTTAAAAATGACATTCAGTCATTTTATAAAATGCCAAAGCGAGGCCAGGCAGATAGAAAATGATCAAAATTTAATTAAGATTAATTCACGAGCGATGAAATCGCGAGTGAATTAATTTCGGGAGACGATAATGCAATTTTATCGACGTGTATAAAACAATATTTTTTTTCCATAGCGAGTTACGTTTTAAAAAATATTCAGAAATTATTATTTCAAGGAATTTATTAAAGTAGAAAAAATATTGTGCTGGTTTGGCGTTGGTTTCTATGTAATTTGACAAATAAATAAAGCTGTCTCTTTAGTTGTCAGTTTTGAGTCAATATTGTCTAATTCTCTTTCGTGTCGATTGCTGATGGAACTGGAGCCAGAAATGGCTCAAAACGAAATAAATAAATTACCAACAGATATTCAGGCTGAGGCGACAAACGCCATATCCAAACTACATCCATTTAAATCCCGAATAACTTATGAAAAGGAATTAGAATTTAGAATAAGTGGGAGGGGGGTTAATCTCTGCGACCTTAGAGATCTATTGTGTCCCCCTTTCTTGAGTTATAACTCATCATACAGTCCCAGGACTTCCTACGGAGACCCGTATCCCTCACAGTCGAGGAGCTACGATCCAGGCCGGGTAGACGAAACGGTAGCTTGTGTCGCCTGTTGGGTTTAGAGGTAGGAGGTAGGCTCCCGACCCTTGGAGGAGGTGGTAGCTTGTATGCCACTTGCGGAGGATGGTCTCACGCAAGTGTCAGCCACCTCTCCTGTAGTTCTCTTTGAGTTTGGCCCCTTGGAACTTTCATTGTTACTGTTCCCAGTGTCGGTAGGGGGTTTCCCCACAGCTTCACCGGTGATGTTTTTATTACTATTATTACCAGATCTCATAGTGTTCCTATGAGTCGCTAGGGACAGTCGGTCCACTTCTACAGAGCCCCGCATGTAGAAGTAAGGGGTAAAATACAATGGGGTGCCCCCCGGTGCCCCAAGGTTGAGGCTGTCCTTAACCCCGCCCGGTATCGTTATATGTCTTAGTGCAATTCCCTGGCCACGACACTACAGTCAGGGACAAGACGATGAGTGAGACGCTTCTTAAACCAAGCCAAGTGCTAGGGGGGATTCCCTCCAGCACCTGACCAGGAGCTTCCCCACCAACGACAAGGTCTTGCATCTCCTAGGGGAAGTATGAAAAGGAATACAAACATTTTCAAAAATGGAAGCAATTAAAAAACGTGCGAGAAGAAATAAAGTTTCTAATCTATCCTCGCTGTTAAAGTATCATTTTAATCTATCCTTGCGGTTAAAGTACTATTTTATCTAGGTACTATTTTTGATAGATATAAGGCAATTTTAATATTTGCTATGGAAAAAATCATGCTACGCACTCATTGTGCAACTTTCACTCGCGTATCTTAATGATGCTGTTAACTCACTTGTATCGTAAATATCTATTATATGTCTGTTGACTCGAACTTAGAGTAAAGGCGTGGTTTTAATGTAAAAAATACGAAAAAATGTGTGTGTGTCTAAAAAAGTGTCTTTTTAAAAAACGAATATCTCCAAAAAATAAAGCTATTGAGATGAATCAAAAAACAAACTATCGCGAAAAGATACATCTAGATGATAAAATTATTTTTATATTCCTTGCTTTGTTAACGTACTGTCTTAAAATCTATAACTTAATGTATATTTTTATTCAATTTCAGGTGTTTATGAAGCTACTAGCATTAACTGGATTGGAAACCACGCGATGAAGATCTTAGGTTGGGGTGTGGAAAATGGTACCAAGTACTGGTTGATCGCCAACACCTGGAACACCGATTGGGGTCTAGACGGTTACATCAAATACATCCGTGGAACCGACCATTTGTATATTGAAAGTAGTGTAGTTGCTGCCTTACCCAAAGCGTAGATTTATATGTAAATAACTAATAAATTATTATGAATAAGCAAAACCATTAAGTTACTTAATTTTATATGTAGATATAAGCAAGTAAGAACAGCATATCCTATTTTCAGTCGGATAATATATGCCTAATTCTGATTAGGCACTTTCTAGAATGCCTAATCAGAATTAAGCATATTAAACTATGATGAAATTTTCTGTGCACTTCTTAAAAAAGACATGTATTCAGTCATTTTATAAAATGCCAAAGAGAGGCCAGGCAGATAGAAAATGATCAAAATTTAATTAAGATTATTCACGAGCGAGGAAATCGCGAGTGAATTAATTTCGGGAGACGATAATGCAATTTTATCGACGTGTATAAAACAATTTTTTTTCCATACCGAGTTACGTTTTAAAAAATATTCAGAAATTATTATTTCAAGGAATTTATTAAAGTAGAAAAAATATTTTGCTGGTTTGGCGTTGGTTTCTATGTAATTTGACAAATAAATAAAGCTGTCTCTTTAGTTGTCAGTTTTGAGTCAATATTGTCTAATTCTCTTTCGTGTCAATTGCTGATGGAACTGGAGCCAGAAATAGCTCAAAACGAAATAAAAAAATTACCAACAGATATTCAGGCTGAGGCGACAAACGCCATATCCAAACTACTTCCATTTAAATCCCGAATAACTTATGAAAAGGAATACAAAAATTTTCAAAAATGGAAACAATTAAAAAACGTGCGAGAAGAAATAAAGTTTTTAACCTATCCTTGCTGTTAAAGTATCATTTTAATCTACCCTTGCGGTTAAAGTACTATTTTATCTAGGTACTATTTTTGATAGATATACGGCAATTTTAACACATGGAAAAAATTAAACTATAGAAGACAGTACAACTTTAACGCCTCTTCAAAAAAGTCAAAATTCAACTTAATCATAAAATCATCTAGGAAGATAATATTTTACATTTTCAAAATTTACAAGGGATGTATCGTGTTCCGATGCACCAAAAGGTATAGTTGTTCAACTGTGATGTATGTTATTATGAATTCAGAAATGAATACAGTAAACAAAACATAAAACAGAAACAAATAGACTTTATACATCAACCATATAATAATCTTTAAATAAAGAAGTCTGATGAAAAATTAGTTAATTGTTTAAACTAAAAAATCAAAACAAATGTTATGATTAACAAATTAAGGTTTATGTAGATGTTGATATTTTTCCAAATGATATTTAGATAATAGCCAGTTTCCAAGTGTTCCTGTAGGTACTATTATCCTTTTTATTCACTAACACTGCGGGACTTGTTGCTTTATGGCTTTATGTCCTTTTCCAGCAACTTAACTTATTTTTATTATGGATTCACACACAACAGGACATATTGGCACTTTTTAAACTGTTGTGGTACTTCTAGTAGGTCTATCCCACTTCTGATATGTAACAGTACAACTTGTATTTTCAAATAAAACACTGAGTTTCCCTCATAACTCCTTTATTACATCGTAGTACTCAGGATTACAATACACAATACACTATATAAACAATACAAAATAATTATTACTAAATAATATCAACATCTACATAAACCTTAATTTGTTAATTAACACAAAGGAAATTCGACACAACATTTTTAATCCAAATACAACATCCTCTAGCGCCTAACATAGCTATTTCGGTACAACCATCGATCTATTATCTAAATCAGACATAACAATAATATCAGAAGATAATTTTAACTAAACGAACACAATGGAATACAATGCCATAGTTGAGAAGAGGGGGGCTTCGAGCTGACCTTTTCGGTCAACCGCATTGTTAGGGCATTAGAACTAATGAATATAAATGTCGGTGGGCATAACAACAAGGGCAACAGCCCTAAGACACACAGCCCGACCCTTCTATTCAGAACTCCGATAAATCTTAAATAAGCAGATGTATAACCTATGGCTATAGAATTGATTTATACGTCTTCGTTTTGCTATTCTATCTGACTTAGCATAATATTTATAAGAAGATTGTTGAAATAATACTCTCGAACATCTATCAATATTTTTCTAAGTTATAAAACTACAACGTATAATACTAAACATCCTCATTTGACCATAAAAAAATCTCGAAAAAAATACTCATCCATGAAATTGTGCTACTAGGACTTCTGCAGTGACATTCCTTAATAAAAATCACAAAGCACGAAGAAAGCCATATTTAAAATATTTAAATACCACTACTTAAAAACACTTTTTAATAGATACGTTTACTATGATTTAATGAATTATATCTCTGACTTTTGAAGTGAAACTTCAAAACTAACAATTACTACCTGATAATAATTACTTCCATAAGTATTCCATGCTAACTTTACCGAGAAGTGTATTTGTGTTTAAAAGATCCCGAAATGTGTATTCCTAAATATATATATAGTAAACGCCACGAATGTTTGAGAGTGATTCATCGCTTGATGAAGTTAGAATCGACACGCGCGCTATCATTTTTACATTAAAAACGTAAATTTTTACCGCAGACGTAGGTTTTTAAAGGCCCGGTCTAATCATCTGCCTGCGCTCCTCCTACTTATTCTAAAATGTTAGCGTGATTGACAAAGACGATACTATATCGCGTTTCCTTGATTGATTCGTTTTTGTGCGTCAGTCCATTGGTGTGCTTGCAGTGCGACCAATGGGGCATCCCATTTTATATTTATAACCAAATATATGTTTTGACAAGACTTTGACAGTTAATACAACAAATTACAACAGATTATATATTGATTATTATATGACTTGAAACACCACGGCACTGGAATTAAGTGTATGTGACCTTGAACAGATTAGTTCACATGGTAGCGACCGATGAATCACTCCCAAACATTCGTGGCGGTTACTATATTCTTGTACTGTTTAGGATTTTTCTACGATTTATGAGTACTAAGAAACTCAGTATTCAACTAACATATTCAAATCTAGAATGCCACGTGCCACTCTATCTAAAGAAGAAAACATTCGACCTTGTGTAATGAACCATAGAACACCACTTCATCTAAAAGAAAGAAAACATTCAGCCAATGTATACTACCATTCATGACTTAGACATGCAAAACCTGGTCACTTAAAACCGACATCATAAGGAAACTGCAGGTCGCACAACGCTCAATGGAAAAAAATATTCTGGTAATAACCCAGAGAAATCGTAAAAGAATAGAGTGGATAAGACAAAATACCCAGGTAATGGTTTTCATCAACAGAGTCAAATCTCTCAAATGGCATATGGGCAGGACACCTGGGAAAAAAACAGATAGACCACAAAAATTACAGCATAGTACCTACTAGGAATTCTTCTTCTTCTTCTTCTCAGCCATTACTCATCCACTGCAGAATGTAGGCCTCTCTCAGTTTCTTCCATTCGTTTCGATTCTGTGCCCTCCTCATCCAGTTCTTACCGGCTACGGTTTGGATATCATCAGTCCATCTTTTAGGAGGTCGGCCGACTGGGCGTTTTGCTAAGCGTGGCCTCCAGCAAAGAAGTCTTTTTGCCCATCTTTCCTCGGACTGTCTGGCCAAGTGTCCTGCCCAAGACCATTTAGAGTTAGCTATCCTCTCTACGATGTCCGTTATCCTCGTCTGTCGGCGAATGTCTTCATTTCTAATGTGGTCGCGAAGACTGATACCCATCATGGCTCTTTCCATAGCTCTTTGGCTCACTCGCAACCTGTTCACACTTCGTGTCGTCATCGTCATAGTCTCCAAACCATAGGTCATGACAAGCAAGACGCATTTGTTGTAAACGTCTCTTTTTAGGCTATTTGGGATTTTGCTTTTGAATATAAAGTTAAGTTTACCAAAAGCTGCCCATCCGAGTTTGATCCTTCTAGAAATTTCGGTTGTTTGATTTTCCTTGCCGAGTTTTATGGCATGACCTAGACACTAGGAATTAAGAGATGATATTAGGAAATTAGCAGGGGATAACTTGGGCCCCCATAGCTAACAATAGACAACAATGGGCCCAACTACAAAGAGAGAATCTAAATATGTGAGGAAGGCTACACCATAATTGGAAATGGTTGAATAAGCTGAAAATGATAATGATGATGATGATGAATAATGAGGTAAAACCAAAAAACCTCAAACTTTCTGTATATGATTATTTTTTGTTTGTTTCTAATTTTTACTTATGTTATGTTTATTAAAATCAAAGAAGTGATAGCCACTGATAGCCATTACTAACGTCTACAGATGCCTGTGAGTAATACATTTATTTATATTAGACTGTATTAAAAAGGTCTCTTTCTTTTTTCGTTTAGAGGCTATTGGTACATCACAATATATACCATTATCTGGTTTGGGGTTTGTATAACTTTTAATATTTTTGTCAAAAAAGATGGGGGATAGGCGTCTTTTATTAATGCTTTTCTCATGTGGTTTATATCTTTATCTACGTCAGTCAGTGAGTTAAGAAGCCCTTAACTCACGCATTTTTAGTGAGATTCGTCGCATTTTGAGAGTGCAATCCAGAAATGGTTGTGAATGCCTCTTCTTCAATCTCAGAGGGAATACTTTCCGAATCGCTCATTTTTTAAACTAGTGACAACAATATTATTTACTGTCATATTGACATTGCCATGCAGGGTGTTATTTGAACAAAGGTATTAAGGTACCTAATTGATTTTTAGGATAGGTATATAGTTAAGTACAATAATTTTTAAAATTCATTGTGTGTTTTTATAGTTAGACGTAGATAAAATATTGTACAATACACGCGAGTTAACTTCATTAAGACACTTGTGTGGTTACACAACTCGTGCTACGCACTCGTTGTGCAACTTTCACACGCGTATCTTAATGATGCTGTTAACTCACTTGTATTGTAAATATCTATTGTTTAGTAAATTATTATCTGAACGTATAATATATTATTGTATATATTATGTGATTGTTTGATATTATGTGAATTTCATTGTATACAGGGTTGTTCACCACATACGACACGGAGTATTGTAGCTAAACGATGAGATTTTTACAAATTGTAAGTTTTGGGTTCGATGAAGGACTATTAGAGGTACAAT